ATCTGCTGCTTTCTTTTGCTGCTTGTGTCGGCTTCTGCCGGCTGGGGCGGCCTTGCTGCTCTGGCTCTCTGGCGTGCGCCGGGCGGGGCTGCTCTATCCTTTTTTTTGCCTTGCAGCTGTGTTTGCTGTGGTCGGTGGGGGTGGAGTGGTTTTGTTGTGTTTTTGGGTGGGGTAATCCGCCTGGGGGCTTGGTTGGTGCCGTCGGTTCGTCCATATCGGCCTTCCGGTGTTGTTTCTGTTGGGGCCGCTCGGGCTCCCGCATTTTCTGTTGGGGCCGCTCGGGCCCCCGCATGCCGGTGGTGCGCTGTCGGAGGGGTTCCTGTTCGGTGGCCTTGCTTGTCTCCTGGGAGGGCAGGCAGTTAGCGGCGGAATCGGTGCTTGGAGTGGGGCTCGGGATTTGCGCTCTGCTGTGTTGTGTGGCTTTCTTCTTCTTCGGATTGGTGTTGTGGGACCGGTGTCGGGGGGTAGTCATTCGGGGGCCGGTGCCGGGGTGGGGGTGCTGGTGCCAGGGGTTTTTTGGGCATTGCTCGGCCCTACTGCTGGGTGGGTCTGGGGTGGGTCCTGGGGTCTGGAATCCCTGGGGCGCGTTGCCCTTGGGCAGGGGCCCCGGTGGGGTTTCAGGGGTTCGGGTTCTGTGGGGAGTGCTGTTTGGGGTCTGGGCCGGTGTACGCCCGGCTGTCTGCCCCTGCTGCCACGGCCTCTGTTGTGCCGGGGTGCCTCGGGGCCTGTTGGGCTGGGGGGGCATGGACATTAACACCTATGGCAAATGCTTACCCCCTCACAGGTTTGCACTCTGTAAATGGGGGAAGTGGAGGGAGGGGGAGTAGGAATGATCTCGGCCTGGATGTCTTCTGTCGCTTGTGTGGTGAGTAGCTTGATTGTTATTGTAGGGGAGGGAATAGATCTCTGGAGGGGGGGTGGGGGGTGGTGATAGTGGGAAGAAGATCTTGGAAGGGCTTCGGGTCTGGCTCCCTGTCTTGGTCCTGGTCCGTGCTGCCCCCTGGTGGGGCTTCGTCCGGGGTGGGGGCTCTGTGTATTGCGCATGGGCTGGCCAGCTGGGGTTGTCCCCCCCCTTATTTATTTATTTATTTTATTTTTTTTCCCTTTTAATTATTATTATTATTATTATTATTTATTTTATTTTTTTCATTCATTTATTTACTTTTTATTTATTTTATTCATTTATTTATTTATTCATTTTTGTTTATTTTGTTATTTATTTAATTATTTTTTGGATGGACAGGACGGGGGGAGGGTGGTGGTGTCGGCTCCATGCCCGGCTGGCTGGTGGGTCCTGTTGCCGGTCCTGTGCCCCCGGGCTACGGTGCTGAAACTGGTGGGGCACCCCTCTCTGGAGGGGCTCTCGGGGAACAGGGGTGCCTATTGGAGTCAGCGGGGGAGCTGGCTACCTGGGAGTGCAGCAAGCACCCCAGTCCTTTGCATCCCATCCCTGAAATCCTCCCTCTGCCTGCTCCATCACTCTGCCACACATGTAGGTTTTTGGGGAGGGGGTCGTTACTGGAGGACCAGACCTTCTGATGAAGTCCCCAGTCCCCAATTTTATTTTGCATTTTAGACACTTCCATCTACATCATTTTCAAAACGCACATCTATGTAGGGCATTTTTCGGGGGGTGGGGGTCAGGGCCACCTGGGGGGGGCTTATTTTATGGGCCCCACCACGGTCGGCCTCCTCCATCTCCTCTCGCATCTAGACATTGAGGGTTCAGGGTTGTTGAAGGGGGGGGTGTGCTGGCACCGTCTATCTCCTGGAGGGGGGGTGGACTGTGCCGGACACCCCCTCTTGGTACTCCCAGTTTTAATTACATCTGAGAGCAACACGTAACAACACCACATTCCAGCGGGCGCAGGGAGGATCGGGGTCTTCTCACACCCCTGTTCTCCGGCTGCTGCCCGGAGTCTGGGGCCTGGAGGAAGAGCGAGCCACCTGGTCCGTGGTTTTGGCTGGGGCCGGCTGCGGGGCCTAGGTGGCCTGCCGGTGGCGGGACTGTAACCTCTGCTCTCCCCGAAGAAGGTTGGAAGGAGGGGCATGAAGTGCCTGGTTGAAGTGTTTTTTGTTTTTTTTTCGGGGGGGCGGTTCTGGTTGGGTGGCCTGCGCGGGATGGGTGGGCCCC